AAAAAAAAAAAAAAAAAAAAAATTCGTTTAAAAAGTTCGTTTTTCATTGTACTATAAAGATAATTTCGCGTTGCGATGCGTTGAAACGCTTCGCGCAACGCAAATACTCTGCCGCGTCGTTTCACGTGTATAATAATATGAATGTTTATTTAGATGAAATTACGCGTAGTTTGCATGCAGTCGCTACAATGAGTTCACCCGCGTACAGTGTTTTATAAACGAAACGTTTAATAAATTCGCGCTTAATAAATTACATTAACGTAGCAAATAATACGGGTCTAAACTCCCCCTTACGTGTCACGTGCACACAACAGCGCACGTGGATCAGCAACGTTGAAACAGTGCCGAGTCTCTTTAAAATCTATAACAATTGTCAAAACAAGGATTCGAATTTAATTTGAATTAAACCGGTGCTCAAATTTTAGTGAATCTTGCTTCCGATCGAACGTTAAAACTTAGGTAAAAATTAACATCGCACATCTTTTCTCTTTTTTTCGCGGGGAAAACGTTTACGGGCTAAAATTATTGGATGAAAAATGAAAATCGACAGTTAATCTTATTATCGGTTCGTTTGTTTTGCGGTTGTCGTCGGATGTACGTACGATGTCGTGTCTCCAGTAGTCCAGTGGCTGATTTTTCAAACAGGTTCCACTGACACGTTCACACCGATCCGGTTGACCAGCGAACGCCGTGAATCCCACGCCAGCTTTATCACACTCGTTTGCATCCTCGTTGATCTTGTCTGCCTGCACCACTAGGTACTCGCTTGACCATCCTGCACCATGTAACCAGAACTTTCGCTCTTACATTCCAATACATAACTAACCTATTCGTTATTCGGTCATTTTTTTTTTTTTTTTTTTTACGATATGATTTTTCAAAACCTTCAGCCTCTGAGTACTTTGATCTTTTCCCAGAGAGCGTCGACGGTACCAGCAAGCGATCTGTCCGCGGATTCAAACTGTACTCGATGCTCGACGCCGATCTCACATCGTCGTACGCAACGATCACCGTGTTCTCTCTATTCCGATAGTATTTATCGAAGGTACCCAATCTGACGAGATAAACGTCCTGTGTAGCGTGAATTTAGTGACCCCAAGATCTCAAGTCTACCTCTACTTCTCATCTCAATCGTCGTTGATTAATTTACCTCACGATCGAGCCATTCGTTAAATCTTTCCACAGGATCGATCCACTCGCCGCAGCGCGTTTCGCGTAAATCTGAAGGTGTAGCTTATGGAGCAGCACAGGCTCTTCCAGTTGATACACCGAGTACCTGAAACATCTCTCGCGACATTCAACTTTCTTACTCTTGCTTGAGCAAGCCTCGAGAAAGAAAAAGACACACACATTGAAACGAACCATAAATCACTGAAACGTAAGCAGTGGGCGGACTCCAAATATTTTAATGGATCCACGTTTGGGGGATGTCTGCGATCCGAGCAATCTTGGCCGCCCCGAATTTGCGGTTCTCCTTTCGACGCATTTTCGCCAAGCAATTTTCTCGCAGACTCGGTGTTTTTCCTCCCTTCTTCCTTCGTCGGGAATTTATCACGATCCCTCCATTTGATTCCATAATCCACATTCGAAGGTTGAATCTGCTTCTCCTCCGACAGCATAAGTAAATTCCTCTTGAAGGGCCACTTGCTCTTCGTTTTTTTGCTATTCTTCTTGTCCCTGTTCCCCTTCCCCTTCTTCGTCTTTTTCCTCCACTTTCTTCGACGCTTCTTCTTCGGATGCTTCGCGTCCTTCTTCTTACCTTCGCGTTCCCGTTTCTGATTTGCCGAACGTGCATCCACCACGGCCGCTTCCCTTTTCCCCTTTACGCTCGATTTGTTCGCCGCGCAAACATCGCTGTCCTTTATCGGTGTCTCGAGGCTCGAGTCGAGAAACTGGCCATCGACGGTCTTGGCCGAGTTTCGCGATGAAGCTTTAGCCAAGTCGGCCGCGTTCTTTCCAACTTGCAAGTTCGTCCTAAATTCTCGTTCACTCGACCAAGGGGAACGAGCCTTCTCTGTCTCTCCCTCCGTCGGAAGAGCGTCTGCTCTGTTCGAATCTCTGTACTGCGCGTGGCGTGACGATTCTCGATCGTTCGGTTTGTCAGAAGGTTTTTTGGAAAGCGCCTGGCGTTTCCTGCCGTCGCCCCCTATTATCGAGTCGATTATTTCCTTTATCAAGTTACGCTCCTCTCCCCCCGAGTCCTCTCGCACCGCGGAGTATTCCAACTCGTCGTTGTCCTCCTCCGAGGACTGTCCTCCACTGTCCTTGATGCGCGTCCCTTCTCCCATCACCACCACCGTCTCGGTAGTCCCCGTTTCCTGCCTACTCTCCGGCGCCGAGAACTCTCTCAAGCTCCAAAACGTACGGTTGTCGGGCACGATGATGAACTTCTTCAAATGTATGAGAGTACGGCCGGTAGCGTTGCTCGAGTTCCCCGTGTCGGCCACGAGTTTCTCCAGTTTTCTCACGAACTCAGAGATCGCCAGCATGTTCCTCCTCTCGATCGACTCGTTGCTGCCTTCCGTTGCGGAAGCGGGTAAATTTGGCGAACCTTGAATTGCCGTCTCCAGCCCTAATTTTGGCTTCGGGTAAGACATCTTCGCCTCGACGACGGTTTCGTTGGTGCTGGTAATCTTTATTGTAGTCGTTGCCACGGTCGTCGTTGTCGTCTCTGTCGTCGCCAAAGCAATCGCCAAGTCCGGCTTTGGATAGGAAATTTTCGCCTCCACCACGGTCTCGTTCAGGCTAGAAATGACTGTTGTCGTCCCTAACGGTGATGGTGTGGTCGTTTTACCCACTTCTGAGCCGGGACTCTCTGCCAGTTTAAGATCGTGAATGCTGAGAAGCGGAGTCGTCGTCACGGCGGCTTGAAACTTGTCAACGATCGTGGTAATTCCGATCAGTTCCATCCTCAGCGTTGTGACGTTCATCGCTAAACAAGCTTCCTTCTCCGCGCTTGCAACAGCTTCTTCAACGGCCTCTTTGCTGTCGAAATTATTTCCCGGCAAGTTGGACAGATCGAGGGAACCTCGAGGCGAGTTACCGGAAAGCTCGTCGCTCGTCTTTGTTAAATCGTCGTTGTTCGGGGACGAAGGATCGGCTCGATTTTGACTTTCCGCGTTCGAGGATTCGTCTCGGTCAGCATTGGCAAACTTCTCGGGTTCGTCCACGAGGTTCGAGGATTCCGAATCTTTCTTCGAACGTCTGAGACTTCTTTCCCAGTCTTTGTCAACTCGGGACGATTGTTTCGAGTCTTTGTTCGCCGGGTTCTCGTTGATTTCGATGGGTTTCTTTTGCAAGCGGAGCAGTTTTTGCCGAGGGTCCAACTCGTTTCTATATCTGCCGGCATTCGGATTTCTAGCGCGTATCGTGTCGAGGAAATACTCCCTGGCGGCCGATCGATCGTCGACCTGATCGAGAGGAGCGTTCGCTCCAGACGGTTCGACGTCAAAAACGTCCGGCAAAAAATTAGCATTGTCCGTTCCAGCGGAAACGAGTGTGTCCGACGCGTCAATAAAAGAATCCGCTGACTCTAATGGAAATCGATTGCCGCGGCTATTCGCTTTCCCATCGTCGATAAAGTCCTTGCGGAAAAATTCGGGCTCCGCGTTGAAACTGATGGACACCGGTCGACCGTACGAATCGCTCTCCAAGTGAATTTTCCCAGTAAGTGAAATTTCGAAATCTTTCCCGTCCTCGCTCTCACCGAGGTCCGTGTTCACCGATTTCTCCTCGTCGGCCGATCCGTCTGACACCTGGTTCTCGCTTCTCAGATCGCCTCGGTATCCGTCAAACTTGTCGATCGGGACGATCGAATTATCGCTCGACCGATCGTACGAATTATCATCCGCTGCCACGTTCTCCGACATCTTCGAACCGTCGTTCGTTTCTTTCTCCAAAAGGCCCTCCAGCCCCGGGTCCGAATAGTCGTAATTTCCATTTACGGATCCCTCGAGACCGTTGCCACCGTCTTCTTCGCTCGTCTGTTCGCCGGCTACAAAATAATCATAGTCCTCCGACGGGGAATCCTGCGAGGTGATCGCCGACCGCTCCTTGTCATCGTCCTTCTTCTTGTTCTTGTTCTTCTTCTTCTTCTTCTTCTTCTTCTTCTTCTTCTTTGTCTTTCGCTTCAACGCGGCGTCTCGTTTCTTCGACTTGTCGCGGTCCTTGTCGCGGATCGATTTCAAACGCTTCCGGCGTTCAGACACGTCGCCCTCCTCCTCGTACTCGATATCCGAACCGTCGCCCTTGACGAAACTGTCCTCGCCGCCCTCGACCGAAATCTTCTTCCGATCCTCCTTGTCGGATCTTCGGCCAACCTGCTCGTTCTTGCCGTTTTGCTTCAGCCTCGGAACGGATAGCAGACGTCTGCCTCCTCCATTCGTTTCCGTCTCGCAAATGACGTTCTTTGTCCCGCGGTCGCCGACACGGCGGTGCCTGTTTTTCGCGCACGGCGGCAGGATCCTGCCCGGAGCACCAGCCGTCGACAGATTCCTCCGAACCTCGCTCCTCGTCTTCTTACCGCCGAGGCCCAGCTTTCGACTGGGACTCGAACTATCGCTGGGAGGAACGCGATCGTACTTATCCATCTGTCCATCGACCGTGTACTCGGACGTTTCGATCGTGACGAACCACGGATGGTTGATCCACTTGATCCGCTCGCGCGACTCTTTTGCAGGAATTTTACTGTAAAAAGCCGAGTCTCCGTTTCGTAGATTCTCGTTCGCAGTTCCCGGTTCTTCTTCCACCTGTCCGATTCGTGGCCGTTTCCTGCGAGCCTTCGTTCTCATCCCCGGATCGTCGACGCGTACTTGCAGGTAATTCCGCTGCTCGCGAGAGACACTACCACTGATGGTACCCAACTTCTCCCTCACGACGTTCACGTCTGCCGCTTCGAGTGAAAATTTCATCGCGGAATCGAACTCGGCTCGGGTCGAACGCTCCTCTCTCCCGTCGCAATCATCTCTGCACGCGTTCCCATCGAGCCTGTCTGTCTCGTGCTGGCGCAGCGCCACCGAATTCTGCCTTTTGATCGTCGAAGCTGTCGTGCTCTTTTTCTCCCTCTTTCGACCCTCCGTCACCTTGGACGATGCTACGTTCCTGGAGATCGATTCCTGCAGTTGGACGAGTCGTTCGGGCAATGCTACGGCGGTTATCGGCGGCTCTGTCTCGTCCGGGAACGTTTCTTCCTCGATGCCGATCTCCTCGTGAAACTCGGCGCCTCCGGGTGAAGTTCGCGTCGCGTTCGCATCCGGCGAACCTTTGATCGGAGGTCGAAACATCTTGCCCGTGATCTTGGTCGTTCCCTCGGTCGTACTCGTCGTACTCGTCGTGTTCGTCGTCGTCGTCGACTCGTTCAGCGCGATCGTCGTGCTCTCGGTAATTGCCAGCGTTCTGCTCGCTGGTCTCAGTCGTTGAAACGCTTTCTCAAGGTTTTTTTTTAGTCCACCGATGAAACCCGGTGACTGAGTGGCAGACTCGGCAATTTCTTTGGGAGTGGTGCTTCTCAGAGGCTCGGTGTGCGAGCCGGTAGCGATTTTGAAGAGATCTACCACGATCAACGCTCGCGTCGAGTCCGTAGCATCGGTCGTGAACGACACAGGATTGACAGAGTCGAACGGTTGAATATCATCGTCGCTGTCTGCCGCGAACACGTTGGACGTGACTCGATTCTGTTCCTCGATCACGGATAAATCTATCGTAGGCGAGATCACGAGCTGGGAGCTAAAAGTTGGAGTGTAGTTGTTGAGAAGCTCGTCAGGATTATTCGCAGACGGATTGTTCTCTTGATTCGCGACTACCAAGAACTCTTCGGATTTCTCGTCCTGAGAACTCGGACAAGAGAACTCTCCGTTTACGTGAAATTTGCTACCGCGAGGAGAATCGTTTTCGTCTGTTTGCTGATAGGCAGGGACTTTCTTGTCAAATCCATCGACGTTACTTAAAGCCTTCACCCTTTCACTCGCTTCAGAATTCGCGCGAAAAGCGTCACCCTTCCTCTCTTCCACGATTCGCTTCGGCCCCATCATCGTATCCTCTTTAAGCGCGTCGCTTATGCGACTGAATTTCTCCTCGATCTGTTTGTCCACGCTGTCCTGCCGATTGCCCTCGTCCCACGAAATCGAATCGTCGTTCCCCCCCTCGCCCTTTTTACTCGTTATTTCTGACCTTTCATCGTCGATCGAGTCGCGCGCCAATTTACCCAAGCTTGATTCGTCGTCCGTCGTGCGTCCCTTCGGAGACCTGGCGCTGTCTATGTAGACACGAACTTCGTGACCAGGTTTCCCTCTCGCCCTCGCCGACGGTTCTTCGTCGTCGCCGGCCTTTTTGCTTCTCTTTCGCCGACCTCGTCCCTCGTCGGCTCTCCTCGGCGACCGCGAATTTTTCCAATCTCGAAGTTGCCCGCTTGCAGATCGTCGGGAATTCGTCTCGCTTCCGTAGCCCGCGTCGTCCTGTTCTTTCAGCTTTCGTCGTCCTGCGAAAGCGTGCACGTCGTAGTCGTCCCTGCAAGAAAAGTCCTTCAACGTTCGCTTCTGCGGCGTGTAGTTCTTTATCGCTGCTGTCACTCTCGGGGGGTGCTTGTTCGCGCGCTTCGTCGAAAAATCGTCTGGTCGTGAGACGACGCTCCTCCATTTCGCGGCGACCGCGTTCAACGACATGTCGCCGGTTCCGCAAGTTCCGACACTTCCGAAGGAATTTCCTTCGTTCTTCTCGTTACCGCGAGACTGAAAGTATCCGACCTCGTCTGCTCGTCCGTGTTTCTCGTTAAAAGTCTGCCGCGACGGGGATGTATTTCCCATTACTCTATTTAAATTACCCTGCTCGATCCCGCTCGTCCGAGCTGTCCACCTCGCCGCAGACCCATTGCTATTCAATACACCTGTCGACGAATTTTTTAAAGGCTCGTTTAAATGCATAGATGGTCGAATCGCCGGCGAATCGACGACCGTCGACCTAACGGGAAACACTTTGTCCCTCCTCCTCTTGTCCGACTTCGGCGCCGGGCTTTTATCCCCGTAGAAGGACTCCGCTCGGAGTTTCTTGCGTCCGGTCCCCTCGCACGCCCTTCCGTTAGCCGCGTTAACTTTCCTCCACCGCGTTTCCGCTGACAAAAATCGTTTCTTCGACTCGTAGCTGGTCGAGCGAGCTGCGTCGTTGCGAACCGAATCCACGCGTACGTGGTCCGCGTTTGATTCGCGATGGCTCACGAACGGATTTTTCGAACTTTTCTCCTTCTCCGCCGCTCGCGATAACTTTCTCGCTTCCGCTTTCGAGCCGATCGAGTGGAACTCGCGATTGCTGTTCGTTCCCTCGCCGTCTCTCCACTGGTTTCCCTTATCTTCCACGCCCCTGCTGGAGCCTGGAGTTTTTACACGCGTCGTCGGCCTGACGTGTTTCGGATTCCAGCGCTTGCCCGGCCAAAGTCTGCCGCTCTTGGTCCCAAGGACGTCGTTCGCCGCCGCTTTATCTCCGTCTGGCGTCCTTCCAGCCGCCACTTCCGCGGATTCCGACAAAAGCGACGAAGCTTCACTATACTCTCCTCTGTATCTCTTTCTTCCAACCAGTTTCGTCCCGCCAAAATTCGAAGCTTCGCTCTCCCTCGATTCGTGGGATCGCTCGAGGTTCCATTCGGTTTCTTTAGTCACGCACGACTCGTTAGTTGTGCGACGAGCTTCAGGCACCACAGCGTTCGATCTTGTGTTATCAGACAAATTCGCGTGCTCGTGTAACGCGTCCGATTTCTTGCCGGATCGAACTCCCTCGGCCCCTTTCGCCTGGATCTGTGCCACCAAGTTGTCGTCTGAACTCGCACGCTCGCTCCCTGACCGTAACCTGTTGCAACCTTTGTCTGCAGCTTTGTTGTCGCCTTGGTAGTTTGACTTGACCCCACTGGCTTTCGTCGAACTTTCGTTCGAGCCGCCGTTCACCTTCGGGTCGCAGGAACAACAGAAACCCTGCAACCCACCAACGACTCGAAACTTGAACATTCGTGCCGTCAACGACTCAACCTTAAGCGTTTATGTCGAGTATATACGTCATGTAGAAAAGAAAAAAAAATTAGATTCGGAAAAATATGACGCAATCGGTACAATGCAACGCAATTCACGCCACACTAATAAAATTTATCATTTTGTTATAATTTAACTCAATGTTAAAGCAAGTGCATTTACTATGTTTTTGTCGAGTATACACAAGTGCACATTGTCAAAGTGAAAGATAACGCTTAAAGGGTTTTAAAACTTCAATATTCCTTCGAGAAACGAAAAAAAGTTTCTCCTTTCCTCGGTCGCACGCGTGCATGCAAATAGGATTTACCTGACTGAACGGAACGAGTTCCCCGTGGACGAATGCTTGGCCACAAGTCGGTCGCTCGGAATCAACGTCACACCCCGTGTAATTCGGGCTTCGGTTGTTGATCACTTCCTCTCTCGCCTCTGCGTTGACAACCTTGTCCAAAGCCGCGCGATCAATACGACTGTCCGCGAGATTTTGCCGACTGTTCCGCTGGTACGTCTACCAACGATGGGTAAAAGATTTCGCGGCACGTTGTTTCTTTTTTACCATAGTTTGATAAAAGAGAAATCGAC